CTTTCCCTCATTTATGTGCTCATGCTCAAATATACAATGAACAGGTAAGTCAAACAGAAGCCTTTTTTATGAGTCCAAACACATGGTCATTATAAGAAAAATGGGCCAAGAATTAAGTCCAAGAGAAAGTATTGAGATTAAAACAGAAAGCTCCCCTGCTAGGCAATGGGAGGATAGAAGTGGAAGAGAATAAAGAAGGAGGCAGGATAAAAAACAAACAAACAAACAAAAAAACCTCAGAACTCAAGGGGGCACCAGGTGTTGTGGCTCAGTGGTTAAGCGTCAACCTATCAACCAGGTCATGGTTCGATTCTCTGTCAGAGCTCATACCCAGGTTTCGTGCTTGATCCCCAATGTGGGGCATGCTGGAGGCAGCCAATCAATGATTCTCTCCCATCATTGTTGTTTCTATCTTTCTCTCCCTTCCTCTCTGAAATCAATAAAAATATTTTTTTTAAAAAAAGAGGCAAATGGCAAGCTTGTGCTACAACACATTCCTACCCCCATTCATACATTTATATCCATGGTGAGTATTACTAGAGTAGTGGTTGCAATATAAAGCCTATGTAGAAATGGACACAAAATCACAGGTTCCTAGAACCAAATGGTGATGATTGGCCATGGTTGGAATTAAAAAAATCTTTGACCAGTGAAAGAACTATTTTCTCCAATGCAACACGGAGGCCCACAAGTTCAGAAGCCAACAAAATGCCATTGCTGCCTGGGGATCACCTGTGTAAAACACCCACCCCTTCCCAGGGCTTCAACCCAAAACATCTGAGTGTCACAGATGTCATTAGCACCAGTCATTTCTCCCAGCCTAGTCCATCCCCAATAAGGTTACAATTCACTTTTGTGTCAAAATTTCCAAATGTCTTTTTCTTTTGTCCATTAACTATAAATGGAATGCTTGCCCAGGTAAGATCCTGTGCACTCAAGGTATTTTCGTGCCAAAGATTTGACCCAAATCCCCAAAGACATTCCTCCATAGTACAGATCCTAATAAGTTTTGATTGAGTGGATACTATTTGACAAGAACCTGAAACTTGCCCATATCAATACCTGCATCACTGACAGCAAGAGACACATAGAAAGACAAACAGGATTCATCTTGAATGACATATGGCAAAGATAGTGCATGGTCTGAAATTCCTCCTAGAGCCAGAGTGCTGTAAATTGTAAAGGAGCAGCCAAAGCCCTTTGGGCTTATTTTTCAAAATAAACATATAAAAGGCCCAGTCGGCATTGATGTTAGAAAAGACTAAAGTTACTTAAAACTAAAGAAGAGCCTAATACAGCCTATTTTTCCCTAAAATCTCCCATTTTTTTACCCGTCTACACATTGTAGGTGGGTATGCAAATTTTCTAAAGCCATTTCTGTCTTTTCTCTCTAAGCTTTCAATTATATCACCCACAACACCAAATAGAGAGGAAATTTTAAGCAATTTCTTAAATTCATGTAAAATAAATTTAGACCCAAAGGACTTACATGTTATCCAAAATATATAGAAATATGGGTAATACTTGTAACTTAAGAATACATTAGGAGAACCAAGATGGTGGCATAGGCAAACACCTGTACTAGCCGCCTCCCACAAACACATAAAAATTACTGCTGGAATACAGAACAACCATCATCCAGAACTACTGGAAAGCTGGCTGAATGGGAGTCCTACAACTAGAGAAGTAAAGAACAAAGCACAGTGAGACTGGTAGGAGGGAAGGAGGTGTGGAATGGCTGGTCCGACACCCATGTGTGCCACTTTTTTAATCAGGAGGGAAATCTCTGCGGAGGCCACCCTGAGGGGCAACTGGTCCCAGCCCCACACCAGACTCCCCAGCCCAGGGTCTCAGAGCTGTGAAAAGAAGTCCCATAACTACAGGCTATAAAAACTTGTATGGATCGGGGCTCAGTGACACAGAGGCTGCTGGAGACCCAGCTGTTCCTCTTAAAAGGCCAGCACATAAACTGAACTTACAAAGTCCCGCTTCCTCTGAGCTCCAGCACCAGGGCAAGTCTCTGGGGGACCCAGACACATACGAGGAGGAACTGGATTGTCTGACATCAGGAAAGGAATGCGGGGGCGCTTTCTCCCAAACAGAGGTGCTCACAGGGGTCATTGTTCCTAGGTTGGGACCTCCCAGGCATGGGGCTGACTGGCAGCCATTTCTGTTTGCTCCACCCTGGTGATTCCCTGAGACCCCACTTCACCCAATTTACAACTCCACTGAAGCTGTGTGCAGCAGCTTTTGCATATGAATAGCCTGTCCTTGCTCAGACTAAAATCTTGGCAAACTTTGCACCTCATTGGAGATCCAAGAGCCATTGTACCCAGTGGTCACTGTCAGACCATACTAGATTACAACTCTATACATCCATAAGCACCACATTCAAGGGGCAGACTCAATGAGCACCAAAGCCCCACTGAACCAAGTCCTGCTCCATAGGTATCTCCTGCATAGAAGCTCTCCCAATGTAGTCACACCTGGTCCTCACAGACAATTGGCCTCGAGGTCAATTCCTCCCAGTGACACCAATAGCAATCAAGTCTCAACTACAATGAGACTGTGCACATAGCCCACAAAAGGGTGCACCTAAAATTCCCAGATCAGGTGACTGGGGCAGTTGAGCCACTGGGCCCTATAGGACACCTTCTACACAAGGCCACTCTACCAACTCAAGGAGACATAGCAGCTCTACCCAATACATAGGAACAAACATAGGGAAGCAGCCCAAATGCAGAGGCAAAGAAACATATCACAAATGAAAGAAATGGAAGAAAGCGAACTACTAGATATAGAGTTCAAAATAACAGTCATAAGATTACTTGAGAATTTTCTAGAAACCTCCAAAAAAATGGAAAAGGACCAGTCAGAAATTAAGCATACATTGACCAAAATAAAGAATAATATACAGGGATTCAACAGTAAACTAGAGGATTCTGAGAATCAAAACAATGATTTGAA